AAAGAGATGATGGGTTGCATAGCCTGGTATAAACAGCACTTGACCTAACATCTAATCACAGGTTGTTACATTGTTGTAAAGACTGGGTTTTATTTTGGAAATAGTTGTATGGATGCCACTTTACCAGTGCATCTTTCATCCAAGCGCAATAAGCTTCAGCAAAGCATACATGGAACATTTGCTTTACACAATTCAAAAAGTGGCCAGTCACTTCTATGTGCTTCTTCTGTAGTTATATTTAATGTAAAGTACTAACTCTTTCATTTCTTTTAGGTTCTTTTGCATCCTCTAACTAGAAAAGCTGATGTTGACAGCCAGCCACCTATGTGTGATACAGACAAGAACCTTCCTTACCACAAACTAAACGATTTAGGGTGAGATATTTTCATGGGAGAAAATATAGAAGGGAATGGGAATTAAAAAGAATACTGGTGGAAACACAGATTTTTTGAAAACTAAGCCAGATCTAAAAAAACCTGCATCTTTTGGCTTGTGTTCAGTTCAAACCTTACCCTAGTATATATAGGTGGTTAATTTTGTCGTCTGAATAGCCTTACTGGAGTGAATAGAAAACTTCATGTGGTTCAAGATACTCATGTACTGAAAAGTTCACTGTGTCTGACAACAAGATGGGAAATCTCAAAACTGCATAAATTTCAGAAGAAATACTGATAATTCAGTGACTCTTGCTGTGCATAGAAGTGGTATGAGGCGGACCTCTATGTAGCAGTAAGGGATACTGGGGTTGTTGGAGGATGTTTTTAGCTGGAGTTTCCAAGTGAAGGAAAACTTAGGATGTGTTACAGTCTGTCTGTCAATCCTGTTCCCACAGTAACTTAAACCTGTTTACTTGTTTAACTAAATTTAATAGTATGGGTCTCAAAGAAACATAGTTCCTAGTTTTATCAGAATTGCCATCTGAGGAGAGAAATTCAGAATCATGTCTCCACTGGTAAAAAGTGCAATGTAAACTCAGCAGCTACTTGGTTAACCTGCTAGGTGGTTAGTGGCAGTGGTATAGTTTGGAACTAGCCATAACACATGCTGGCTCTTTCTCAGTCAATAACTAAGTGATGTGTTAAGCTGTGGTCATCAGTATAAGAGAAGACAGTGGTCCTATGTAGCAAAGTCGAGATAGGGATGGAACAGAGGGGACATGAGAGACTTGAAGTATTGTGGTAGTGTGCTATCAGCATTGTGAAAGACAACTGAGGATACTATGTTGAAGAAGAAATAGGAACTGATCTAGGGGTGGTGTGGTACGGATGGGATGTGGTAGGAATAAACTAGACTAGATTAGAATAAATTGTTTCAGCTGGAGGGGACCTACAATGATCGTGTAGTCCAACTGCCTGACTACTTCAGGGCTGACCAAAAGTTAAAGCGTATTATTAAGGGCATTGTCCAAATGCCTCTTAAACACTGACAGACTTGAGGCATCAGCCACCTCTCTAGGAAGCCTGTTCCAAGGGTAGGGGTACTAGAAACCAGGATTCATTTGTTCATTCCATTTCTCCAGAACAACACTTTAAATAAAAAGTTGAAATACAAAACCGATAACCTTGCTGTTTGTGGACCTGAAAGGAGCACTGTCGTGTCGGAAGTCACAGAGATTTAGGATCAGTGAAGGATAAGGATGCCTTCAAGTGCACTATGTGCTCCTTTTCTGAAAAGGCTGAGAAGTTTTCTGACCAGACATGCTCCATGTTCTACCAATTTGTTACATTCCTTAGTAGGTTGTTACTTAGATACTCAAATAAATGAGCCTCAAAACGTGGTTAGCTCTTACCTTCTGAGACCTACCTCATGCTAGGGTGGTGTAGAATGACTAGATAACCCTTCCATTGTGAGGGTGTTCTGCAATGTCTGTGTCCCATGTCACCGCTGCAAAATAAAGGTGCTCTCTCTTCAAATTGAATTGTCTTTAGCTTTTTATTGAAAAGCTGAAGTAAATCAAAATGTGTCAGCATTGAAACTTCACTGTACTGCCAGAGTTCTATTTATGTCGCGTGTACTGATGCTAACCTAGGCCATTTGATGTTTTATTTGCTCTGCAGAGGAGTGGACAAAATAGGAACATCTTCCTTTGAACACATAAGCCACAGTCTTCTGGGGCGTCCTTTGTCTCAAAAGCTTGCTGTTATTGCTGTGGGACTGCGAAGTGGAGGGGTGCTTCTCACGGGAGGAAAGGTACACACTTTGCTACTCTTTACTTGCAAACCCTCCTAGATTGTTTCCTGGAGTTAAAAACCTGTTTTTGTTAGTTTTATTTGATACCATGTGAATTCCAAAGAATAAAAGAACAAACTGAAAAAAGATCAGTTAACAGAACAGAGTTAATTCACTAAAACATATATGTATACACATTATATGCACACATCATCAATACATATTCATATTTCATGTATATATATAATATATTTATAATGTAAGTTTTAAAGATTGCTACCAATGCAATTTCAATTTGTTCCCTTAGGGGGTTAATCTACTTCGTGTTTATAGTATCATAAACACTTCTTGTCTCTGAAATATTTGAATGAAAATAAGAATAATATTTTCTCCTTTGTTATAACATAAAATGGCAGTGGAGTTGATTTTCTTATTTTCCTGTTGCCTCTTATGGTGATGCATTTAATAACATATTTCACTGAAACTAACAGATGTCTTAACACTGAACTCAGTGGAATCAGAACACTATCTGTAGTGGATGTGTCCACTCTGAATTTGTTTATACTTGTTTCACTCTAGGGCTTTGGTCTCTACCAAGTGAGAGTACCTATATAGTTTCAGTGAGGAATAAAATCAGTGTGCTTACAGCTTTCCCAGCTGTTGTAACTGTTAACTGTTGTACACTCTGACAAAAACTCCGCAGAAACAGAGGAAATAGTTCTGTCAATTTACATTAGCTCACATTTATTTTTTAGGGAAGTGGAAAGTCAACATTAGCAAAGGCCATCTGCAAAGAAGCATTCGATAGACTGGATGCTCATGTAGAAGTAATTGATTGTAAAGCTTTAAGAGGTATGAAGATTTTTTTTAAATCTCAAATGTTTGCTTTATGATGAAGCACAATTATGAAGTTATTATATTTAGTCTGGATAATTTTTCTATTATTATTCTTGCTTTTGCAAGGATATTTGATGCCCCGCAATGAGCATGTTTAACAGTCTGAGAAAATACAGCTACCGTAAGCTTATTTCACACTTTTACCAGTTTCTGTCCCATGTACCACTACCAAATTCAAACCATGCTTGCCGTGCCTATTTCTAATTGTTACAAAATTGGAAGAAGTTGCAAGTTGAACTGTGTGGGGTTTTTTCAGATGTAGTAGTTGCAACAAATGTTACATTAACAAATCATAAGTATTAAAGGTTACTTGTATTACTCAATGAAAGGATGACACAGGCACCAAAGAAGGATGGAACAACCAGCTGAAACCTGATTTATGATGGCATGTTTACTAACCTAGTGTATGTCGGCAGTAGTCATCTAACACTCCTGATTATAGATGGTGATGCGATGAATCCTCACGTTTTGTGTGTTCAAAATAAGTATTTTGCACCAAAGATGGGAGAGGACAAAAAAGTCTTTTTTTACTCTTTCATTCACTAGCTTTCTTAATAGTCTTGGTGTTAGAGGCAGAGAATACTCAACTGTTTTCTTACAGAACCCTTATACTGCATGGCTGTACTCTTTTTGCTTAAGTCCCTACTGAGCTCCTTGCTCCAGAGAAAAAGGGAAAGATTCGTAAAGAGCTAGGTCCTTCACTCTGAAAAACTCTTCCAATTGCAGGACTCTTTGTAACTAATTTAGAGTGTTGCTGATACTGCTGTGTTTTTAACTATCTAGAAATTAGACCTATAGGCTTCTGTAGTGATTAGTGAAAGATGATTAATCTCATTTTAAGACAGGTGCATCCTTCTAATACTTTTTTAATAGAAAATGTGGACTCTTTACTGACTTTTGACTCTGGTTCAATCTTCATATCTGGGTTTATAGAAGTAAAGTTAAAATACACAAATCACAACAATATTACATGAGCAAGGTGTAGTCAGTCTGATGATTTTTTTTTCCTGATATGTTTTGTCATTAAAATTGTATTTCTGTTTTAGGAAAAAGATTAGTAAACATAAGGAAAAATGTGGAAGAAGCTTTTTTAGAGGCAGCATGGAGACAGCCATCCATTCTTTTGATGGATGATCTTGATCACATTGTTGGAGTACCTTCTACACCAGAGCATGAGAACAGCCCTGAAACTGTTCAAAGCAATAGACTTGCTTATGGTAATACTGTGCTACCTGTGTCTGGATAAAAATTGAATGCAATTTAGAATTTCTTGCACCTGAGTTGTTTGATGGAGTTAGTGTATTTTTTTATTAAATTACTTTTGAAGTTCATAAAATCTTACCATCATTTCTTTTTTAAAAATGTGCACTTAAGTTACTTACAGAATTGTGTTACTTACTTTATTTACAGATATAATGCATACAACTGTGGTTTAGAGTTTTACAGATTATTCCTTGAAGATCTACCTTGCATCCATAATTTCTTTTACTTTCATAATATTTTTTTTCTAGGTTGCTTACTTTCTAGGCTTAGAATCTATTTTTATTCTTATAACTTTCCCTTTTTTTGTTTGTATGGAGGGAATAGTATTTCTAGAACAGAGATCATAGCCCAC